TTCGCGCTAATTGGATCATACTTTTAGATCTAGAAGAATGGTCCTATCTCAGCAGACAATCATAAAACGGTTGCAAAACTGTTGAGTCTGCTGAACGCAGCCATTGATCGCATCGCACTAAGCGCATTGGAGTGAGTAAGAGCTATAGTAGGAGCATATTGGAACACGTTGAAGCATGCGACACGAACAAACCTAGGCTGCGGTCATTCTTTGATTAGTCAATTCGTAAAATTCTTTGTTCTGATTGGCCGCTCAAACGCTTCGAAGCGTTTGTAGCGTCAAAGATGCGTTCAGGGAGACGCTATTAGCGCTATGTGTCATTCTATCCTTGTTTTACGTCTAATAAACAACGAAGATAGAATGACCGAGTAGCGCTATTAGCGTCTCCCCGAACGCACCACAAGTGGACCGCAGCCCTATACAACATCTCTTTGGTTGGGACGGATGTGTCTGTTTCGATTCGGGTGTTTCATCTTGTCTCTTCATTTTTTTGGAAATTGTGGCCAGCTGCGGATGTGCATTTGATTTATACAAGGGTTTTTTATTATCCTATTTCGTGAATATTACTTTTCTACCGGCGCCTTTCTTAAGAAAGTGTGTGCGGAACACATTGGATATTGCGATACTGCCCATATTGTAGGCGTTTATGCGTGCGGAAGCCATAAAAGAAAGAAGTGTATTTTTCTGTATTTTGTTATTGCAAGTGAAAATATTAATCTGCTGTGTGCATTGACAGAAGATATAAATGAAAAAAGAACTTATAAGATTATATAAATTATAAGAAAATGGCTGAAGAAAGTAAAAAAATTTCTTTTGGTTTTGCAAAATGTGTAAAAAAGCCAATTTTGGGCAAACAAAAGCTACACCAGGAGAAAAAAGTGGATTATATCGAATGTCTAGACGATAAGGCGATTAAAGTGATCGGGTAAGTTGAAAAAATTCATTCGCTGCAACAAAACAGTGGATCTGTAACTTCAATCTTTGTCTAACCTTAATTTCTAGTTTTTAATACTTGAAATGTCAACTGTAATGTTCGCTTTTATTTATTCTAATTTTTTACGTTGTAGCATTTATTTTCGTAATTAGATTAAACAGTTATTATACAGGTATGTTTGTTTAGGAAGGAAGAAAAAAAAGATGAACCTCTTGTTATTCCACTATTGGAATCTAATACCTGGCATGATAGAATCATTAACAAAATAGATGCTTCAAAAACAAGTAATAATGATATACAAAAAGTCAAGATCAAGGAAGAATCAAAACAAGTATCAAATGGTGTTTTAACATCAAATGATAGGAGTGTTTCTCCCTCTAATATACAAATAAAAACAGATTTATCTACTGAAAGTAAAATTCTTACTTTGGATGAGCAGGCAGTTAAAGAAATTATAGAAGATCTCAATGAGACAGAAAAAAATAAAGATGATTTATGTGACATAACATTATCTTTAGTTAAAAGACAGAATTTAGAAGGTGCAGAAGAAGTGAGTATTTCTTTATGATTACTAATAACATAATGTACATTTATATTTTAAGTTATATAAAAATGAACTAATATAAAAATATGAAATTATATAAATACACATTTTTAATTATATAAAAATGAGCTTACACAAAAATGAAATAAAAATAAACAAAATAAGCTAAACATAAAGTAAACTAGAAATTGTATAAATTCACAAGAAATATTATGTACAAAGAATCGCCTTAATCAAATATGGCATGTCTTACTCATGTGTATTTAATCTCATCGATCAATTTTCGCATAATATTTTATATATTTTTTTTCTATATAGAGTACATTAGAAGATTACGAGAAGGTTCCGCTAGATGCCTTTGGTTCAGCTATGTTACGAGGTATGGGGTGGAAACCCGGCGAAGGAATTGGTAAAAATCCAAAGTAAGAACTTTTTTTAGATTTAGCATGAGTGGTTGTTGCATATCTTTATTTCAGCATATATTTTCAGATATAAAGTGTACTTGTTTTTTCCATATTTTTATATATATATATATCGTTTTTATTTTCATATTTAATATAATTTATGTACTTGGCAGGCTTGTAACACCTGTTGTACCTGAATTAAGGCCCATAGGGATGGGACTTGGTGCAGACAAAACAGCATTGCAAAAACAAGACGGAAAGACTCAAAAAGAGGAGGAAGAGTTACGGATTCAAAAAGGAAGTTTTATAAAAATCATTGCTGGCAAGCGATCCAATGCATATGGCCAAATAGAAGGTTTTGATGATGCAGGAAGATTAATCGTTAAAATGGCACTAAATGGAAATACCATTTCTGTAAATGAATGCATAGTTCAAGTAGTAACAAAGTCGGAATACTCGAAAAATTCTAAAGTTCTAAGTTAGTAAATGAAGCAAGTTATCTCTTGAGGGACTTTTAAAACGTGTGTAAAAGTACAAATTTTCGTAATCATATAAAATTTTACAATTTTTGTATTTGTAAATAAGTTACTAAAGTTTAAATTAATGATTGATTACAATTTGGAGTTGTAAGATTTTAAGGATTTTAATTTCTCAGTGTATAGCTGGAACCTGTTATACATATAAGAACATATCAATATTTA